GGGGGGGGGGGGGGGAGTAGTGAGAAGGCTCCAGGGAAGATCAGGCAGGTTTAAGTTTAGCTAGAAGAGCAAAAAGCCCCAAATCGCAGCAGATTGGCCAGGGCTGGAGTCTGTACCCCGGCTGGGAGAGAGGGAGAAGCCCCCCAGGTTTCTGCTCCCCATCTTTGGTGAGGGGTGTTCCTGGGGGTGCGGGAGGAAGGCGGCTGAGGCAGGTGGGTGAGGCTGTGAGTTGCCCTCCCTGGCCTCTGGGTGGAGCTGTGATTGGGGCCTCTTGCAGTTTGGACAGACCTCATTAAAGTCCTGGCTCCCACTAATGATGTGAGTGACAAGGGAGTGCAAGCACTTTTTATTAGTTAATGAGGGCTTTTCATTTGGTGGCCTAACCTTCCCCGGGAGGTCCTGTGGCTCTGCCTGTCCTGACAGGTGGGCATCTTCCAGCTCTTGGCCTTGGTGTTTCTGGCTGCACAATGGGGGTGATGACAGTGTCTCATCTGTGCTGGTTGCAAGGAAACACCAATGGGATGGCCGTGCAGTCCTGGAGGCTGTCATGGCCCATCAACACTTGCCGGGCTATGAGAGGCCTGTTCCGGCTGTGTTGTCACGGCCCTGTGTGACTGGGACACCCTTTAGCTTCCTCAAGCCTTTTCCAGCTCCGCACCCGCCCCCCCGCACCCTCCACTCCCCACCTCCCCCACCCGCCCAGCTCTGAGCCTGTGTTTCTGGGCTGCTGTACTTGCCCTTCCACCACCCAGTGCCCTCTGGGTGTGGGACCCACATGTGAAGGAAAGAGGAATCTGGTTGGGACAGCTCCCCCAGACCTCCAACTTCGGCCTCTCTGGGACCCCAGTGAGTGAACCCAGGAATACTCATCCTTTTCAACCTGCCTGCTCTCCCCTTCACCTGTCTGCCATCCTAACCAGATGGAAAACTCCCCAAACGGTCCCCCTCCCCCGAGGGACACCTGGGCCTAGGGGGTGGGCAAACTTTTTGACTCGAGGGCCACAATGGGTTCTTAAACTGGACCGGAGGCCGGAACAAAAGCATGGATGGAGTGTTTGTGTGAACTAATATAAATTCAAAGTAAACATCATTACATAAAAGGGTCCGTCTTCTTTTTCAATAGTTTTATTCATTTCAAACGGGCCGGATCCGGCCCGCGGGCCATAGTTTGCCCACGGCTGGCATTTCCCGCCCCTGTCCTCAGGGAGGGGAGTTCATGTGGGAGGCGGGGGGGGGTCCTTCCCCTCTAGCCCAGGTGTTTTCCTCTCTCTCTTTTTCAAATATATATATCATTGACCGGCTGCTTCTGCACACCCCCCACTGGGGATCAAGCCCACAACCCAGACATGTGCCCTGAGCAGGAAATGAACCCTGACCTCCTGGTTCATGGATCCACGCTCAGCCACTGAGGCCACCAGCCAGGCCCAGGTGCTTCTCTCTTGCTCTGAGTATCCCATTCCTCCCCCCGAGATGCAATCACCTGAGGGCCCATGAGAGTGGCCCTCATACACTCCCCCCCCTCCCCGCCTGGTCTAGGAGTGTATGGGGGGGGGCGGGTCCTGGTGATGGGCAGGCCTGGAAGAGGGGGGTGACCCCACACTGTGTGGTCTCCTCAGGCGACTGGTGGGAACAATGGCTCAGCCAAGTACCTCTGGGGCTCCTGGTGATGAGGCGATGCATCATTTCCAGCCTTGACCTTTCTCTCTTCAGTGACAGAAACCACATCGATCCCACCAGCGCCTAGCCTTTCTGTTCTTCAGCATGAAATCTGGAAAATAACAGGTCCCAAATGGCAGACTGGCAGACGGCCGCCCTCCCCACGGGCTCTCTGCTCTCTGCTCTTCAGATAAACGGTAGCCATTTCCATCCCAAGCCCTTCCTGGGGCAGCCTCTAGTTGTCACACTGTTTATGAAGAAGACGCAAGGGGTCTCCACATCCCCGGATGCGGTTCCACCCCCACAAACGTGGAGAGCACTAAGTGGCTGGGAAGGGCCACGGCCTGAGGGCAGGCTGGGCTTGCTGCCGGAGCAAACTACCTTTTGTGCCTGGGTTCCCCTCACCAGCGCTCTCATGTGCTCCAGACTGATCCCTGCCCTTGGCTTCATCTGCTCCTTCAGCGACTGTCACCCAGCACCTTTCGGCAGCAGCTCTAGACTTGTCGCTGCGGCTTTGGAGTGGGTCAGGATGCCATCCATCCCTCCAGGGGCTCTCCGCCAGGTGAGGACGGTGGGTGCCCTGGCGCTGCTGTGACCACAGACAGGATGCTTAAAACAACGGAATCTACCCCCTCCCAGCACTGGGGCAGTCTGACATCCAGGCGCACGCACTGCACTCCCTCCAGAGGCTCTTCCAGCTCCCCGTAGCCCCCTAGTGTTCCTTGGCTTGTGGCTGCATCCTTCCAGCCTCTGCCCCTGTCCTCACACGCCTCCTACTGTGTGTCTAAATCGCTCTCTTCTCTGATAAAGGCCGGAGCCCTTGGATTTGGGGCCATCCTAATCCGGGATGATCTCACCTCGAGATCCTTGACTTCATCAAATCTCCAAAGACCCTTTCTCCAAACAGGGTATGGACATATCTCTGGGGGAAACTATTCAATCCAGTGCAGGGGCATTGATGACACTCAGCCAGGCACAGAGAGGCTGGGTCCTCACAGTGAGCTGCTGCACACGCTGTCTCCCTTCACTGAGTAACAGGGATATGACCATCCAGCCTCACACATGAGGGAGGAGACACGGGCAAGGCGAGCGGACGCTGGCGGAGCCCCCTCGGCGCCAGCCCTGTGCCGGACGGAGACCGTCTCCGAAGGCCCGGCCACGCTGCAATTCCTTTCTCTGTCACGAGTTGCCAGCTCCGAGCAAAGTGACTGTGACTGATAACCTCTCGGAACCTCAGCTTCCTCATCCGGGAAAGGGAGATAATCAGGGCTCCCCCAGATCCAGATCCGAGGGGGTGGTGGAGGGACGGAGGCTTGAACTCATCTGTTCCTCAACAGGCTCCTCTCAGGATCAGGCTCCCAGGGCCCTCCTCCAGGGCCGTGGGTTAAGGCTCCTTGTAACTCATCCCTCACCATCAGGGCTGGGCTGGGAATCCCAAATCTGGGTGAGGGTGAAGATGGGCAAAGTGGGGGGTCTTGGATCTGGAGGGTGTGAATGAATCACTTGGGAAGGAATTCACAAAAAGAGGGAAGCAAAATGTAGAGAGGAGAGAGGCAGCTGGGAGTGGGAGAAGGGGGAGACGGAGGGCCAGGAGGGCAGAGGTGGGACGGGAGCCCCTCACCTCTTCTCCCCGGTCCCAGCCTGGCTGAGGGGCAGGGGCGGCAGAAAGCTGTAAGCAACCGTCAGCCTTGCCTTGCCTTGGTGCAAAGAAAATATTCCCTGAAAGACATTGAAATGAAGTAAATAAAAGTGATAAAAATGGAAATATCAAGGCAGCAACTTCTTCTCTTCTGATTACAAAGCAGGCAGCGGGAGGCGGGGTGCGGGCCCTGGCAGGCGCAGCTGCGGCAGCCGGGCTGTCCTGATAAGGGCCCGGCTGCCTGCGCCCGAGAGATAAAGCCGGTGCCATGCTGCCTGTCCTCAATCCCGCCCGGCCATCAATATTCACACGGCCCGACCAACTGGCGTTGCAGATAGATTAAATATAGACGCTGCTGCTGTGACCCAGACCTTATTAATCCGCTTGCCGGCCGGCATTTAAATGCTGTGGAGAACAGAGTTTAGAGCGCAGCGTCCAGAGCTCGACACTTCCTCACTTTCTTTCCTCTCCACCCGCCTTGGCCATTGTCTCCACGTCTCTAGCTTCACTTGGAAGTAAAGTTCCCAGATTCAGGTGGAGGCACCAGGATTGGGGGGGATGGGGGTCCAGATACCTGACAGGGGAGGGAGCTGAGTGACATCCCAGCCAGGGTCTTGGGGGCTGAAGTCATCCCGGAAGGAAATGGCTTGACTTTGGCACCAGGGACCTGCAGCCCATGGGTGGGGTCTGGGGCAGCCTCACCCTTCTGAGGCCTTTGTGTGCGGGGTGTGGCCTTTTCCTCCCGAGCTGTCTGCCCGCTGACAGAGACAAAGCTGAACAAACAACCACACAAACAAATTACAATGACGGGAAAGGGAAAGTAAGGAACGTGGCCAGGGCAGAGTGTGGGCTGTGGAGAGAAAGATGCCCCACTCTGCTCAGATCCCTCCATGGCTCGCACCTCCCTTAGCGAGAAGCCCAAGCTGCCCACCCCCACCTCAAGACCTGGCCTCCTTTCTTAGCCTCTAGTGCATTTGTGTTTTGGGTTGTGTGTTTTTTCATTTTTTTCTTTTAATCTTTATTGTTGAAAGTATTACACAGGTCCTCCTTTTCCTCCCCCATTGCCCTCTTCCAGCCCGCTCCCGTCCTCCCCCGCCCCCAGGTCCTCACCACCCCATTGTCTGTGTCCTCGGGTCTGCATATGTGCAGACTGCACTTGTTTTCTAATGCCAGGCTCGATCTGCACAGGCCCTTTGCACAAGCTACATTGCCTCTTAGGAGCTTTCCTCCAGGTGTCTACTCAACTCCTTCCCTCACCTCCTTCGAGTCTCTGTTCAAATGCCGTCTCTTCAGAGAGGCCGGGCTTGGCAAATGGCAAGAGGAGGGAAAGGACCTGCAGGCAGAGGACCTGCCTTGTGCAGAGACCCCGAGGTGTCTAATGTGGTGGCTGGAGAGAGAGAGAGAGAGGCAGATAGAAGTGCCAAGCAAACCAGGCCTCAGGCCATGAAAGACTGGTGGTTTTCTCAATAGGAGCACATCTGGTCCTCCCAGCATAGGTCACACAGAACTCCACACTTGTGCACATGGCACCCTAACATACCAACTGCACCCCAGAACACAGAACCCTGACATACCGACTGTGCCCCAGAACACAGCACCCTGACATACCGATTGTGCCCCAACACAGCACCCTGACATACCCACTGTGCCCCAGAACACAGCACCCTGACATACCGACTGTACCCCAGAACACAGCACCCTGACATACCCACTGCGCCCGGGCACACAGCACCCTGACATACCGACTGTGCCCGGGCACACAGCACTCTGACATACCGACTGTGCCTGGGCACACAGCACCCTGACATACCCACTGCGCCCGGGCACACAGCATCCTGACATACTGACTGTGCCCGGGCACACAGCACTTTGACATACTGACTGTGCCCGAGCACCCAGCACCCTGACATACCGACTGTGCCCGGGCACACAGCACCCTGACATACCTACTGTGCCCGGGCACACAGCACTT